GAATATGGGAACCATCTGCTGTAGAGACACTGTCTCTACCAGAGCACAACTAATAAGAACTGAAAAGTATTGGAAAATTAGTCATGTGCTCAGATGCTCTTGAGTCTATAATCCATGGAGGTCCCTCCTTACCTGAAGTGGATGCAAGATTTGCAGCTGCATATGAACTACCTGTATGAGCAAAAGAAGTTGTGTAGTTGGCTCCTGCACTCTGTTGTCCATCTAAAAGGCTAGAACTAGTTGTATCTTTCTTACTCATAAGTTGTCCAAACCTCTCCAGTTCTGTTCTCGCTGCTGCTACTGCAATGGATTCTCAATCAGTTTGGGAAAGAGGGGCCGAAGAGTCTCCTGTGGTGGCCACATTTGCATTTCCCTTCTTGTTCTTGATCCAAGTTGGCATAAGATGTGGATGGATCTACCAACAAGTATCTCTGGTATGCTTAGGCTTCTTACAGTAATCACACACCAAGTCCTTCTTATCCTCTCTCCTAGTCTCATTGCTCCCCTTGTCTCCATTTGGCTTAGGTTTGGTTGTAATAAACATAGCCGACTGGTCAATCCCAGGCTGTCTTAGCATGACATTCCTCTTGCTCTCCTCCTCTCCAGAAACAAAGGCATAGGCTTGAGAGAGTGTCACACTCTCCCTAGAAAGGATATGTTGCCCAGCAATGTTGAATTCAGGGTTCAGCCCTACAAAGAACTCAAAAACCCTATTTTTCTCTACCAGTTTCTAATAGGTTGCTGCATCATTTACACTTTCCCACACCACAGTTTCTAAGTGATCTATCTCCTGCCAAAGGGTTTTCAGCATGGAGAAATACATGGCAAGGGGTTTATCTCCATGTTTTTATACTAATCACCTGATTCCTTAACTGATAGGCTATGGCTACATTCTGTTTCTGAGAATAGGTTTTAGTCACTCCATCCCAAATCTCCTTTGCAATATTAGCCCATAGAAAATTTTTGCCAATGTGAGGTAGCATAGAATTAAACAGCCAAGACATCACCATGTAATTCTCCTATACCCATTGAGAGGAATCTATATCTAGTTTCCTCTCCTCCCTAGTGATGTACCCTAATTTCCCGCGGGCACCAATGGCCATCTTGGCTGATTGCGCCCATTCTAAATAGTTTGTACCATCAAATTTTACTATAGTAATGATTCCAAACCCAAAAATATCACTACCACCTCCAACTCCAAGTCCCATGGTACCAGTGGATTTCAGCTCAGTACTCCAACTCTCCATCTTGCTTCAAACAGTTCAACAGTCCGAAAGAAAAAGGTTGAGAGCCCCCAAGAACAATTTAAATCCACACACACAGGAACAAACCCTTCCGGGAAAAGAAAACCCTAATCGAAGAGAAATCTCTCTCCTCCCAGCATTTCCCAACAAAGAGAAGAGTGAATCGCCCACTCCAGGAGGCCCAAAAAGATCTAGAAAACTAACCGCCCCCTACAGAAAGTCATGTTCCAATGGTTAGTTGGAAAACTTCTTTATCTATGTCTCACATGACCAAACATCAATTGTGCAGTTAGTGTTGTTAGCCAGTATATGCATTCTCCTAGAACTACTCACCTACTTGTAGTTGAGAGGATACTGGCATGTTTGAAAAGATGTCCGAACAAAGGTATACTATTCAAAAATAATGGTCACATGAAAATAGAAACTTACATAGATGTTGATTGGGCTGGATGCGTTGATGATAGGAGGTCTACCTCTGGGTATTGTGCCTTTGTAGGGGCAATCTTGTCTCTTGGAGGAGTAAGAAACGAAATGTCATCACCCGTTCCAGTGTTGAAGCTGAATATAGGTCAATGGCAAATGGTGTGGCTGAAGTATTATGGTTGAAATCCCTATTTGATGAGTTAGGTATCACTTATGAGAAGCCTCTAATGTTGTACTGTGATAATCAGGCTACTATTAACATAGCCCATAAACCGGTACAGCATGACAGAACTAAACATATTGAAATTGACCGACACTTTATCAAAGAGAGAGTTGCTTCACAAGAAGTGTGTCTTCCTTATATCACCTCCAGTATGCAACTTGCAGATCTCTTCACCAAGGCAGTTCCAAAAACAAAGCTCGAGACAGACTTATGCAAGTTGGGAATGACAAACATCTATTCCCAACTTGAGGGGGAGTGTAGAGATCATTAGTTTGGTCCCCACCTGTTTTATTAATTTATTATGTTTAATGTTTAGTTTCCATCGACAGTTATTTTCTGTTAGTAGTTATTTATTTCTTTTGTAAATAGTAGGGGAAATTCAGGTTTTTCCCCTTTATTTAATTGCTAACATAAATAGCAGTGAGGGGGCGACAGTCAAACTGATCACCCATATTCTTTGAGTTTTCTCCTTCTCTTCTCCTCTCCTTCTTCTCTAATTCTCAGATCTTTTTTCTTGATTCTATATATTATATCTAGGACTGATTACAGTCCCACTCGACAACTCTAAGACAGCACAAGATCACTTTGGAATCACCTATTCCAAATTGGAATCTGTAAAGGGACATCCAAGTTAACAATTTGAAGAAATAAACTTTGCTATAGTATATTCTGGTTGTTGCCAGGAATTTTTATCTCTTCCCCCCTCTCAGTCTCTCTCTTATCTCTTCTTTTAAGTGATCTTTATCTTTGTTGTTCACCCTAACAGAAAGAATTCTCCTTTCAATTTCTTACTCATTCTTTGGTGAACAGAAAGCTGCCCATCCATTTTCTTCATCTTTAATCACTTAAATTCCCTCCTCTATTCCATAAAGCCCATTCTTTGGTGGGCACTTACCTTGTCCTTTTTTATGATAAAAGGTAAAGTATCATATAGGGGCTAACAACCCAATTCTGTATGCTGATTACATCGTGCCCTTTAACTGCTTGTTTACTACTGCCCATGAGTATATTCTACCCCATAAACTTTTCATTACTGTATCTTCTATGTTGTATTTGTTTTCAAAAAGTCTTCTGTTTCTCTCTGTCCATATTGACCAGATTATTGCTGCTGGTAACACTCCCCATAGTATTTTTCCTTTTCTGGAGAGACCCTTCAAATGCCAGCACCATAACAACTCATTCAAATCTTTTGGAAAACAAAATTCTACCTCAAATAAACCTAAAACTTTTGTACAAAGAATCCTTACAAACTTAATGGATGAATAAATGATCTGCTTCTTCTTTGACTTCTCCACACATAACACATCTGCTTGTTTTTTTTTTTTTTTTGATAAATCATAACATATCTGCTTGGCTCCACCATCATACCTCTTCTTGCAAGCATGTTTGCTGTTAAACACTTTCCAAGAGTGGCTATCCATAACCAAAAGGCTACTTTGAGGGGAGCTACTGTTTTAATAAAATGTGGGACACCTACATTGTCCTACATCATCCATAAAAGAAAAATTTTAATGAAATGGAAAACAGAAGAAAGCAATCATCATTGGCAGGTCTTTGTCATGCAAACATTGGGCTAACCTGACCCAAATCAATCCAATTATGAAAGTCAAGTAACCCGATTTAGGTTAGGGTTATATATTCTAAGGTTAGGCAGGGATTGGATTGACTAATTGACCTCGACCAAGCCCAGCCCAGCCCAAGTTACACCTCTAATTATGACAAATTAACACCAATGGATTCAGGTTAGGGGTGGGAGAGGAAACTCAAACTGCTAATTTATATGTAAACTTGAAATAGGTAGCCTATGCCTTCAACCTTAAGTTCTAATGACCATAACCTTAAAATGCTAACTAGTAGGGGTGATCGTGGACCAGGATGGGCCAGGCTTACTACCTATTATAAGGGGCATAACCCGGGCTTGGGGTTTTTGGGTTTACAATTTTAAATGTATTATATTTAGTGTGTATAATATTTTATATTGTATGACATATATAATCTATATTCTTTGTATCATATTATAATATTTCTATAATACAATATAATACACACACACAGATATATATATATATAAGATATGAATATATGCATATTCCAGGCCAGACCTGGAAATTTGTGGGCTGGGTTTCGGACCAAGCTAGAAATATATTTGGAATCTGTCCAAAAATCCTGGCCCTTCTATATGGCCAAGTCACATCTTTCAACCCTATTTTGTCTCTTGAATTCAAAATCATCCCCTAAATTTTCTTATTCTCAACAAAAACTAAATTTATTTTATTTTCACACAAAGCCATTAAATTTGCACATATTTGTCTGCTTATTTTCCAAGGTTTTTTAAAGCCTTTGGCTCGGCCTGTTTTAACCCTGTACTTGATCTTTGATTTTTTTTAGTGTAAATATGTTCATGTTTCTAATTATAAAGGACAAACCTAACTTTCTTGGTGGTTGGAGATCAGAGTTCACATGGACAAAAACTGCATAAAATATATTGCAGTACCATCCAAGACATTAGTTATAACTTTAGAACATATGACCAAAGTAGTTTCAAATTAGAAGTTCTTTTCGCATATCATCCAAGTTAAAGTATGGTACGTAGAGACCTAATTGTTGCATAGACTATTTTTCCTTTTTTTTTTTTGTTTTGTCAAATAAAGTAGAATTGTCTTAATCAGATTGAGAGCATAGCCATAAGTGTTGCATGGTCCTTTTTTTCTTGTTTTTTCTATAGTTCTGTCAAATAAGGTAGAGTCGACTTAATTGAATTAAAAACATAATATTAGACCTCTAGAAACTTCATTCAGATGGAGATTATTGGATGCTCTAACAGGCTATCTTGCAAGAAAGGAGCAAATTAGGTTGAGTTGTATTAGGGATTCTGCCCTTCCTGGGTAGACTTGAGGGGATCAATATGCATCTTGTGTGGATGGCACTTGGGACTGTTGGCCCGGCCCTTGCTACTGTTATTGTTTGTATATTACTTGATAAAGATTCCTGATCCATCAACAGAAAAGAAAAAATAACTTAACGTTTGGCCATATACATATTCCCTTTTTGATAGTTTTTGTACCAAAAACAAATTGACCGCAATATTGGCAAATATAGAACTTCCGTACCACTTGAAGGATTCCCACAGCCCTGGAAGTTTGGATCATCACAAACAATTGCTTCAGGTCCCCATGCAAGCTTGCCACCAAAAATATTCCACACCCCATTTGGCCCCTGAAATCAGTCAATTAGTTAAATGTGTGTGACTCAAGTGGCTAATGGATAATGACTTATTTGTCAGGTGCATCCCAATAACACCTTAAACTACCATAGCTTCCATGAGCAAGTTAGCCAATGCAACAAATTATTTGAGAAAGCATGACAACAAAGTTTTATGGCCATACTTTTCTGCATAAGTGTGTCATGAAACTGACAACACAGTGCACACATTCAAGTGCAAGGCCATTCAGCTTTGAAACATCCATGAAAGAAATTAGCTGCAAACAAGTCTGGGAGCTAATTTCTACATAATTTATAAATGGTGACATGACAACAAACATTAAAATCATGTTTACCAAAGTCATACATATTTTATCATCACCATGGTACTCATAAAGTTAAGAGTTCAATAATGAAATCAAAGGAAACATTTGCTCACCTGCTTATGCGCGCATCGGTGGTTTAAAACAACATCTCCTAGGGCCTGTAGGAACATAAAGTTTTTAATTCCCAAAAATTAATCATGAAAATCTATCTACCATTAGCAAATCTGAGGATAGAAATTAACTTCAATAGGAAAACCGACAGGTATATAATAAACTTTTAACTTATGGTTGAAAATGCAATGTATCTTCCTTGATGAAATTGTGCAATATCCAGTAAAGAAACAATTCATACATATAATTTGATAACTGATTAACAGAACCTGTAGTATCTTTTAGAGATATCTCAGTTTTTGATACTGTATCTTTGATGTTGTTATGCAATTGCAGTATTGTGGTTATCCTTTCCTTGAAAAGGTTTGATCTGGATCTGTACCTTCTAGGAAACTAGATGATAATACTTGTTATCGGCTTTTATTTATAAAACAATTGTACTTGATGGAGCACAATGAGAGGACATGATTAATGTAGTCAATCCCAAATAGTTGGGGTTAAGGCTGAGTTGAACTGAATACAGATAAAAAGTGATGAAGTCTCTCAGGAGAGGATGAAAGAAAGTACAAATATTAGCCATCAAACTCCATCCATAAAAAAGCAATTGGTATAATGCACAAATCTCCAAAAATTGCAGAAAAAACCCAATGTCCAATACAATAGATAGTGTTCTTACCATCATAACTAACAGTATTCTGTCAGTTACACAAATAGAAGTTTTATCAACCTCAAATAGTTAACCTATAAATTTGTTCATAGAAGAGGTGCCAGAAACATTGTTAGTCTTATAGAAAGCATAAATAAAAATTATATCTAAACTCCACACAATCAGAAAATGCTACAAAAATTATGTGGTCTCAGAATAATTTTCTTTCTTTTATTAGAAGTAATCTGTATGTAATTGAAAAGTCTGTAGCTGTAGAAGCCTTATTAAGCTGCCAGCTTTAAACCCTTAAACTAGTGGTGATCATGGACCAGACCAGGCTGGGCTTAGCACCTATGGTAAGGTTTATAGCTCAGGCCTAGCCGCCTAGGTCCAGCCCGGCCCAGACCCCGGGTCTAAAATATAAGCCCAGGCCAGGCATTGGGCCTATAGCACCAAAATGTAAAAATTTAATTACTTATAAAATTTTAAATTATATGATGTATAATACATGAAAAAATATTGTACAGGCCCAAACTAGGCCCATTGTAATTCCTAGGCTTGGCTTGGGTTGCCTTGTCTATTCCTTTAGTAGAAAGGTTTGGACAACCTGTTTTGATATAAAAACTGTAAAAGAAAGAAGAAAGAAATAGGACAAAAGGTTTCAGCTAAGAAAGAGAGAGATGAGACATAGAAGAGAATGGGAGAAGCTTAGAATTAGATCTGGCCGCCCCTTTCATTAGATTATATACTCATAAATAAAAGAGAGTACAAAGACAAGTATGCCCTTAGTAAGTTAGCTACTTGTGAGAACTTAAAAACACTCTTAACTTAAAATATAAACTAATGGGCCTAAGGCCCAATAACTCCTTAACTATGCTATGTAAATAAAAAACATGTTATATCGGCCCAAAACTCAACACTCCCCCTCAAGTTGGGAATAAATGTCACACATTCCCAACTTGCATAGATCATGTTCCAGCTTGTTTTTTGCAACTCCTTTTGTAAGAACAACAGCAAGTTGCAAGTCAGATGCAACATATGGCAATTCAACTTCTCCGGATGTCACCCTTTCCCTTATAAAGTGTCTATCCACTTCTATATGCTTTGTCCTATCATGCTGAACTGGGTTGTGGGCAATGTTAATTGCTGCGTGATTGTCACAATATAGCATCATAGGTAGCAATAACTTTGTCCTATCATACTGCAAGCCTCTCTCTGAAGTTGATATATTCTCGCTATATTTCTTATTTGGGAATAGGTAGCAATAACTTTGTCCCAAATATCCTTGGCAATGTATTGGAGTATGCAGCTATGATCTAATATGAGGTTGCATAGAGCAAGCCACACAAGACATTACCAACAAAGAAGAGTGGTGTGTTATTGTTCACATCCTCAAAATTTAATTTATTTCTTGTTGAAAAATTATGAGTATGCCCAAATACAAAAATATGTAAAAGACAATAATACCCATTCAAATAAACATTCTCAACAGAAGGTAAAGCCTTCGTTCTAATTGAGTGTTGTCCCAAGTCCCGCATTGCACAAGAATTCAAATGAAGGGCTTGCCTTCATCTATATAAGACCTTGCCTAGGACAACACTTATATGTGAGTTGATTCATAGCGAGTGTAACACCATTTGTTGACACATGAACATGCATAATATAAATTTTTTATATAAAATAAAATATGTTTCTATATATAACGTCTAGTACATAATATTTGTGGGCTATACCGAGCCTGAAGTGTTGGTCCCAGGCCTAGACCCAAGCCCAACCCAGAAATTTGCAGGCTGGGCTAGACCAAGAATGGTTTCCCCTACCTTAAACCAGTCATGCAGATTGATTCCATGTGATGTATTTTCAGTGGATAGAGTCATTAAATCCACTTATAATTGATTCCTAATACCTGAAAATATAAATATCTAAACAGATAAGCTTGGATAAATTAAATTCATGTTCCTATTCTTAGTTGAAACTTATGTTAGTTTTAGAAGGAACATCATTAATATTTTTAGGGGAAAGAATGAAGTTCTGAAATTTCAGCTCCAATTCCAAAAAATTAACCACCTCAATTCCATACAACATGCTGAACCAAAGTTCACCACCTTACCAGAAGATCTTGAGCATGCATTTCCTCTATACAATGTTTTAGCTCCTCCACTGAACCATAAGCTGAGTTCAAGTTGTAGAGATCAGAAGGCATATAACCTGCATGGTGTTCAAAATGTTTAAGATAGTTGGACTCATAATGACCCTACTCTTAACTTCAAAACTCAGTAAATTTGCATAAGTACATAAAGTATCAGTAACAATAAATTCTATCAACCCATGTGAATTCTTATTCCCTATACTTGTTAAAGAGTAGTCTCAAGATGTAGATTAGGAGAAACCATAGAATAAATTCATCAATCTTCATAATGTGTTTTGCACCACCATAAAAGGATGGAAGAAAATGGACAAATAATTGAAGGAAACTCCTTTTTCCTCCAAAGATATTTGAAGCTGTAGACCACACCTTGAGGAGCAACAGATTCTGTTGGTGGTGGAAGCCAGACTGCTGTTATCCCACAATGAGACAAATCGGCAGCCTTAGGAGCTAGCTCCGCATACCACTTCCTTCTCCAGCTTTCCCAGTTGAAACCTTGAAACTTCACACAAGAAGCAATTATCAAAATCCAGTGAAAGTTAACAACACAACACACACGAGTACTTACATAGACCAAATTATTCTTTTATTTGGTGGGTTACAGGTTAAGTTGGGCAGGACCTTCACCACTCACCTAACAAGGGTCTTGGCAATTCTCTCATAAATAGAGTAGCTCCTTATGTATAAGAGAAAGAAAGGTGGAAATTCTACTTGTACAGTTTTTGTTTATGATCCAGACATCAGAGACAGTCTTGCTAGGACAATGCAAGGACCTACACATATATCTGCTACATGAATTGGAAGTAAACTTCTTGAAGGTTAACTTTTAGCAACAAAATCAATTATGCACACAGCTATCCAGTGCCCAAAGAGAAGGTACTAGAATTAGCATTCCATATGCACCTCCCTCCAAATCACTCTAGAGCTTGGAATTGTAACCCCTAAAAGTAATGGTTCATTAACAAAGGCAATGGTTACCCAAATGGAAGCCCATAAATTTGCTTTACCATGATAGTGATTAATAGATTGTTGTATGACATTTAGCACATAAGTCATAGGTAATCATATTAAGAACCAAGAAGCTTATATGCTCTTAGAAACACTGCAATAAAAATGCAGTGTTTGATTTCTAAGAAAATAAGTAGAAAAGGGAAAGTTTTGGGAAAATCCTAAGACATTTTCTAACATGCCTTCAGGACTTTCCAACTTATTTCTGAGGAACCAAACACAGCATGAACGATCCAGCTAAAATTCTTGACAGTAATACTTGTCCTGTTATAAACTAGACATATAAAGATATCAACTTCTGAAACTGAACCTACATTGCAAAAGTTAAACCTCTAATATTCAATTCCGCATGCTATATAAAAGCGTATTACAATTCCATCATTCAATAATTCTACCGGGTATGAACAGAAATACTCACTACAATCTCACGTCCAGTGCCAGTGCCAGGCTCTGCATTAAAACCCATATGAGTTTTTAAATTCATATTCAGCAATTTGCAACTTTCCTAAAAACAAAAGCAAGCATCATTTCATAATTCAAGCACACTAACCTAATTTTGTTTGTTCAGGAGTCCTCTGCCGCAAAGTTTTCCGCTGCAGAGCACGTTCTAATGCCTTCCGTTTCTTCTCTATAATCTCTTTCTCAAGTACATGCTCAATCAATGTATCCCCCTCCTTTGGCTTTTCTTGAGCAATACACCATACTTCATCAGGTTTGGGCAGGTCCAGGGGAACAGAATCTGCTGCTAAAGCTTCAGATATATTAATTTTCCTCGGTGGAAACTTTGGACAGACAGTCCGAATTCTGCGGGCCATCCATTCAGGTATCGCTCTCCTAGGACCATCACTCAATAGTTTCCATTTCAATGAGTCATCATCAGTCAAAAGATCTATCCTTCCACCATTAACCATGTACACAACATCTTCAACCTCTTCGTCAAGTGATCTTTCCTTTTGCAATAATGACTCTGCCATTTCAGCTCTTTGTCTCCACATCTTTGATGCAGCTTCAGATGCCTTTAATGATTTTTGCAGAGCTTCACATCTTCTCATATAGGCTTCATCTTTTGAGCGTGCAGTTTCCTTGGCTGCTTCAATCACAGCCTTGATAGACTCCAATTCAACCTTAAAGGCCTTGGTGATAGCTTTCTTCCTGTCTGAAGCATCTTTCCTCATTTTTTCTAGTAGTGATTTGGTTCCTTCCTCCTGCTGCAATGATTTTTCCCTGGTCAACTTCTGGAGATCAAGAAATGCCTTCTCTGATGCTCTAGCTTGTAGTTCAGATGCCTTTGCTTGTTCTTGAGCTTGTTGTAATTCTAACTTGAACCTACCAACTTCACCCTTCAAAAGGAATAACTGAGTTTCCAAATCACTAATGGTATCTTGTAGTCCTATATTCTGGGATCGAAGAGTAGCAATTTCATCAATTGTATTTAGACCATCCGGTAGAGCTTCCACAGCTTTTCTTGCATGGTCACCAGTTTTCTCTGCAACAGCCAAAGCCTTTTCTATTGCACCCTTTGACTGTTCCACAATAGACAAGATGGTATCCTCAGTGGTATTCCTTATTTTCTCTTCAATTTGATATGCTGCTTCTGCAGCAGAAGTTTCTGCAGCAGAAACTCTAAGCCGTGCGTCTTCTAATATGTGAGAAGTAGCCTGCTGGAAAGCAATCTCTGCCAACTTCTCCACTTGCACAGCAAGTTCAACAGCATCTTGTTTTGCTAGGACCAGTTTAGATTCCAAAGCAAACTTCTCTTTTACTGACTCCTGCAGCTTTTGATTGAACATAGATTTAGCTGCTTCAAGTTCAGCAATTGCAAGTTCTTTGTCATGCATTATAGTAGTTACATACTCCTGCTGTTTCACTTTGGACATGGCCAACTCTTCAAGTAACTGGTCTCTCTCTTTTTCAATAGACTCTAGTCTGGCATGGGCCTCAGACAGAGCAGTTCTAATCTCGAGGGGCTCATTTCCATCAATCTCCAATGTTTCACTTTTCCCTGAAGGAAAACCCTCCCCATCTTCAACAATGCCTGTGTAAGTGTCATTGAAATCACTGGAATTTCCCTGTCATAGAAACTCAAAGGCTCATCTTCCAATCAAGTGATACTTGTTCTTTATATATTGTAATAAAGATGAACTTGAGAACGAGAAGAAGGAATGTATGTAGAAGAAAGAAAAGAAATTCATCTTCCATTAATAGTTCAATACCCTGCTTGAGGAAACTATAATCCTTCGCAAACCAAGCCGACCCTCTACAGATGAACAAAGCCTGAAGGAATTTCCGCTTGCAAATCAAAATTAATTTCACAACGTGAACAAAGTTTAAAAAATGGGAAATAGTTGGGACCACTGACTACCTATTGTTGTTGGAAGTTCTTCTACAGATTAAAGGGTGCCACCTTAGATAGAAACCTGCACTACAGCCCCGGACTGTACCTGAAGCAATGGAATGACAGGGCAGACATCGGAATGGTGTGTCGGGCCTGACAATTACGCCCATTTTTACCTGCCAATGATTCACAATTTCGTGTTCTATGCATCTAATTTCCCATTTTTATCATAAAATAATAAGAAACAATAAGGAGGACAATAACTACAGAAAAAGGAAAAACTTCACAGAAATTTCTGCTTTTTGTTAAATTTACCAAGTGAAGTATCCTAATACGTTTGGAAATAAGCAAATGAAATCTGCACAGAATAGAAAGAGTCAGATAATGAACTTTATGGTGTCCTGTTATAATTCATTCGCTATAAATTGGTTACCGTTGGAAAAAAAAAAAAAAAGTCTGACAATCAACCATTTAGTACAACCAGACTCTAAACTTGCATGAAGTCATAAACCTGATCTTCAACTCTTAAAAGAGAAAAGCTACCGTCATAACTTGGACTAGTAGATAGCATTGTCCAATAAATAGTCAAAATTACGCCTAAAATCTCACGTAAATTCGGGAAGAAGATATAATCTTCGAAAACCATATTGCTAGCACTTAGAGAAAAAGAGAGATCAGACGATAGAAAGCTAGAATTCCGCCCTAGGATAAGAAGAAACTCCTAATCATGATAGCAGTAATAATCGGATCACAGGAGAGACGCCATTTATGGGTATCAAATAAGCATAAATTTTGAAAAGCAATCTGACCTGATTTCAGATGATGAGCTTTTCCGTCTTTCAATGTAATTTACAGACGAAGAGCTTCATTATTTCTCTTTTGTATTTTCAATTTAGAAATGCAGTTACCGGAGAAAACATAAATGGCGCGGAGTCAGATGCATTTATAGGAACAGGAACAAAAAACGGCTGCCATGTACAATATTAACCAGAATTTTCAATGACGGGAATACCCTTGACGGATATTTATTTGCCATATAGAACCAATTTCGTATCGAGACATGAAAAAAAGTGCTTGAGACTCCGATGGTTTGTAGTGCAAATCTGAACCATATAATTATGATTTGCATTCTTCCCTGATAAATTGATACAAAATTTGCACCACTTTTTTCATACCTTAATTCTTTCTCATGTAAAGAGGGCCATATCATTTTGTTCCCCAAAAATCTGGATTTAATCCTCACCATCCTCACAAATTTGAAGCCGTGCATTGAGAACATCTTATCCAAATTTCTTGGGATGAGATCAGGTTTTGTCCTCATAAAATTGGTCCTCACGGGTCACAACATTTGAAGTCATGTATTATAAACATCTTCCCATGAATGAAAATATTTAAATAGAAAAAATATTTATAAGGACCAATTTTGCGAGGACAAAATTGGATCTCGTTCCCTACCACACTCTCAAATAAATAATTCTTTTTTCTTATCTCTGTTCTCTTTCATATAGAGTGGGGTTCACTTCACTTTATTGCTTATTTTATTTCTCACAAGTCACAAACAAATAAGATAAATTCATATATGGAATTTTAAAGCAAAAAATTAAACTGGAATTTACATGAACCCAATTGCACTCCCATAGGCTTACACCGGTGCAAAAGGAAGTTAGCACTGCGTGGGAGCCACAGTTTTACCGAGAATTGGATGAAGGGTCAATTGTGTTCCGAAGTTGACGGAAAAGATTTAGGGTATTTTGGTGATTTTAGGCCGTGAGCCGTTCATTTTATCTATTCACAATAAAATCCAAAATCCGCTCGTGTACTCCCACGGGATCAGGCCAAAAGTTTGGTTTGGTTAGCTACTTTTGGCATAGGAAAAGGAGGATATAAAGAAACAAAGACAACAGGGCACGAGCGAGATGACGAAAAGATTTGGAGAGGAACGAGGCTCCGGATTGGGGCTCATCATATTATATCCTCAACGCAAGTACAGAGATTCATTGACATTTGTCGCATAAAAAAGAGGGAGGCCCCGAAAAGGTAAGCAAGAACAGAATCGCGGTGGCATACATCAAAAAAGCGTCTAGCGAGAAAGCCGAAGAGAACGAGATAAAAAAGTCACCGGCTAAAACGAGAATCTTCTGGTTCTGGTTGCCGTGCTTTCTCTGAATTTTCTTTTTTGCCATCTCCTGGAGCTTCAATCAGACACTTGTATTGTTCCTGATTTCCGTACTTTTTAACCATGAAACCACGTTAGAATGGGGTAGGGTGGGGGTGGGGCGTAGGGGTGGCCACGAGCCGACCTCTTTACGAATTACTTGAGTTTGGTCCGATTTGATTCAAGCCTAATATAACTTGATTCGCGAGCAGAATTAGAATAGCTATATGTATATATATATATATATATATATATATATATATATATATAAAATTATAGGAAATAATATATATAATAAAAATATTATATATATAATAATAACTAATTATTATAATTTTTAAATTTTTAAATATCAAATAAAAATATTTTTTATATATAATTTTTTTATTTTTTATATATAATTTTTATATTTTTTATAAAACATTTTTTCTTAAGTCGAACTCGAACTTATAAGTTTTTTATTCGAACTGAGCTCGAATTCAAGGTTCTAGCTTAAATCGAGCTCGAGCCTCGTATTATTTGACTCGGCTCGAATCCACCCCTAATGGAGGTATGAGTTTTTCCGTATTCAATAGAGGAGATGGAATTAATGTCAAAACTTGAATTGTTCATGTTCACGAGACATGACTCTGAGATCTAAACCCACTCATTCTACATGCTCTTTGTGGTATGGCTAGGGTCTATGATGGTGATTTCTACCCTAACCGGCAGGTATATACCTGTTATATGGTGTGGAATTTTTTGATTGAACTTTGAAGTATTGGTTTTGAGGGGAAACAGGTTGGAATTTGATTATTTCTGATTTATATGGTTCAAAAGCATATAAATTTTCATATATTAGGTGTTGAATTTAATAATATTTTAAATTTTATATAAAGGATAGTTGATAGTTTGTCTTTTTATATCTCTTAATCAAATAATTGAAAATTTTGTTGTTTGTACGTATTATTTTACTTATTTATTTGTTTGTAAGGTGAGGGAGGATTTTCCATTTTTATGTACAATGAGAATTTGGGTTCTCAAAATCCAATCCACTACGGATTTTGGGTAAAACATTCTCTGTTTACATTGTCATCCCTTGAACATGGGTCGTGGCTGGGCCTGAGCATACATGTCTATGATTGTTATCAAGTTGAGCTGGGCCTAACATCTAACCATGCGTGAATTAATAATATTTATATTTAAAAAATAAAAAATTAATATAACTTTATAATCAAAATTACAAATAATACATCTAAAAATTTAGTGTATTATACCAGAACATATGCTATACATGTATGCAAGTTAGTTTTAAACTTTTAATCATATATGATTAAATGGCATTTGGATTTAGGGTAAACTTTCCTTGTGGTTTAGAAAAATTGACTAACTCTACCTTAATGAAGTGTAGAATTTACCCTTTAAGTACAAAAGAGAATACATTCAAGTCTAAGTACAAAAAAATATACAAACAGAGCCGGTTCATAGAAGAAGGGTGCCACCGGATGTTGCCAGCTCTTGGCAGTGAGCCTCTCGGCCTCCAACATCTGCTGCTCTTGTTGCCTATCAGGCGATGCGGGTCACAATACCAACAGTGATAGAAGACGAATCTACCTTCCACCCCGCAGCAAATTCCGACGCTGGGTTCACCTGTATGGGCGCCGTTGCTCTACTCTGTAATCACCGCCGTCCGATTATATATCTTTCATCTTTCCCCCTTTGAATGGTTAAATAATCTCCGACCACTTGATTATTATTCATAAAATCTAAGTACCCACTTGATATGCATATAGTTACAGACCTAAGTAACAAACTAGGAAGTTACAAAAGAAATAAATAAATAAAAATAAAAATAAAACCTGGGAAGGAGGTGACCTGTGGGGTCTGTCACCATGCAACTAAACTCATTTTACTCTCTAAAATGTGTCAAATATGACTGCTGGTTCTTCGCCTTTCTATACTGATAGCTTGCGATGCATCACATGGAAAGACAAAAGACATCTCAGTCCAAAACAGTGATATTGAACTTTTTTTGCCGGATTTAAATCCTGATAGTAGATTATGGTGTTAGATATTCTCTCACAAGAGAAGGCGCTGTAGCATTACATAGGGCAGTATATAGGGGAAAATACCATGGTTTTTAAAACCGATTCAGAGACCGAACCAGTCAGGGGTTCGGTTACCGGGTCGAACGGTCGGCCTATTCTGACAAAAATAAATAAAAATAAATGGTCAAAACCATTTGAACAGTTAATCGCCTGGGTTAACGGTTTGCTGACCAAAATCAATGGTTTTGAGAAAATCGAAATCGATCACTTGACCGGTTCTTGGTTTTTCCGGTCCGGTTTTGAAAACCATGGAAAACACAATGGTTACCGGAAAGAACATCAGTCATTAAAATTTCCCTTGTGTATTTTCCAAAAAAACACTGTTTGGCTTCTTTGGTCATGACCATTGGATTTTTTGCTTGAGTTGCCAAACTTTGCTGAGAAATCTCTAACCTGGGGCTCTTTGGAGAAATTAGGATTAAAAAGTTCTTTTGAGAAGATGTCGGAAAAGGGTATTTTAGGATTTTTCAAAAAATATATTAGTCACGTGATGTCACATGTGAATAGACCTATTCATGGGCCAAGTAGCCCAACAGACCGACCCAGCCCAGTCTGCACTCCGGTCGGGCTTGGACATGTAGTTAGGCCCACAGGCCTAACCTCGGGCCCAAAACACCAAACCCGATTGTATTTTGGGCTGGGCTCAGAATTTGTCAAAAAAGCCCAGCCCAACTAATTTATATAATATTTATTATAATATATATATTAATAATTTAATATGTACATTTTGTATTTTTTTCTTTATAATTTCTCTCTCTATTCAACCGCTTCAACGGTAGCAGTGGCATGAGCTTTAGACTTTGGGCTCGGGCCTAGACCTGGGCTTTGAACTTTTTATGAGGGCCAGGCTTAGGCTCGAGCCTTAAAAAAATCTATTAATGAAGAGTGAAAGCCTGACCCGGCCCGGCCCATGAATAGGTCTACATGTGAATGGAGTATAATAAAAAATTAGCGATACGGAAAATTTTAGATGATTATCAGAAAACTTAAAGATATTTTAAGACAATATGTAAATAGTAAGAACCTAGAAGTGTCCCAGCCCCGAACTGATTATTAATGATGATAAAATCATGAACCTAAAAGTGTCCTGAATAATAATCGGGATAATCAAGTCTAACCCAATTATACTAACAGCTATACTTGTTTAAATAAAAAACTTAAAACATTTTTTTTGCTAAGTAAATAAAAGCTTAAAACTTGAATTTTGATAATATAGATAATGGACTTAATAAACATCAAACTAAAATGGTAAATTATTTATATGTTAATAAATTAAACGTTTTAAACTAATATTATCTTATTATTTCAAAAAACAACTTAGGTACAAGCTGCAACTTCTCTACAGTAGAGAAGATTGCGGTGCTTGTTATTTTTTAAGTCCCAGATAATAATTGGATCCAGCTTCGGTCCAGTTAGCCTCAAGCATTTTTTATGAATTTTGGAAATCTGAGGAAAGAAATTAAATCCACCTTTTTTTTCCCTTTTAACCACTAATTAAATGCATCCAATAAAGTTTATTATTTTCTAATATTTTTAGTAATTTGTGCTAATATCTATATATTTGATTAATTCGATCATTTGGGCGGTCCAGGTCTGAACCTTGGATCAATAATAGAAAATCATCACATAGGGTCTTGTTTTTTATGAATTAAAACAAAGCAAACCACTAACCAAAAGGGAAATTACAAATAACAGGTTCCAGCCACTGAAGGGGCAATCCAACCAGGTAGAGAACCGTAGAACTATGACAAAAAGATTTGGCCGTCATGGCCACTGTATAAGCACAAAAAGTAAAGGTTCGGTTCTTATACAAAAACTTAAGAAAAGTCAAAGTGGATATCATAATAAAACCAATTAAGCTAAATTTTGTCCAATCTTTAAAAGGGAGAAAAGCTAACAATCAGAAGTACATTTGATTCTTTGATGAAAAATGGTAGTAAATAATCTTAATGTCACATACAGGCCCCCAAATGAGCAGAAGTAGTTCAATATCCTTGATGTTTTGTGCGAAAAAAAAAGCCCCTCCTCGGTTGGGAAAACAGGAAAACAACTAAAGAACTGTGGTGGCTCTTTTGCTGTTACATTCAGTGTCTAAACTGTTCCTAGTTCTCTGTTCAAGTAATCCACGAACATTCTTTTTGCACTATCAGTGTCTGATGGTGGTGGAGGCCCACTCAAGCTTGATTGCCCTGTCAATTTTATGAATGTACGTCTCAGGCTCCGGAGCTCAGGCAGCCCAACTGCTCTCTGAATGCTAATTGTTGGTAAGTTCTGGCCAAGAGAAATCCCACTTATAGGTCCTCCGAGTGCCTGAGATTGTGCTTCCACAATGGCGTTGATCACCTCCTGTGTTGCACGGTCCATCTCATAAAGTGTATTTGCTTCTGATAAACGTGCATTTTGAGTGGCGATGGTAGGCTGGAGGATTTTAACATCTCGCGACTTTGAGTCAACCTTTTTAGTCAAGTATGAAACAGTATCCACGACAGCAGCAGAAGATTGCTCTATTCTATCTTTAGATGGCCACAACACAAAAAGGGGGGAATCCCATCGATTACGCCTTTCTGGCTTCTCAAACCTTCTTACTAAATCTTCGAATATATTATCGTCATAAGTGGCTTCTCCCTTTTCTCCACGCTCCTTGTTCCATTCTCTGCAACTACTGATTTCTGTATCACAATATAACACACAATATCTTATGCCAGCAGCTCGAGCTAGACACCATAACTCATATCTATAACCCTTGATGCTGTTCAAAGAGTCTACAATAACAATACTGTCCTTTGACAAGGATCTGTCAACTTCAGACCTGAGGACCCCCCTTAAATTCTTCTCTGCAGTCATATTTGCATAGCATTGGTTTCGATCAAGATGAAAAAGGGATTCATCAATAATCTTCACTGTTGGTTTGGATTCTAGGGCATTAAGCGATCCGGCTAGGCAGTGAGCAGCTGTTGATTTTCCACTACATGGTTGCCCACATATCACAACCAATGCCATTTGAAAGAAATTGACTTTCGTAGTCCGGGGCTTCAATAATTACTCTGGTGCCAATGATACAGCTTTTATATGAAGAAAAAAAAGGGCTTGCTCCTGTTCGCTATTTACTTATTAGCCTTGCAAGCCAAGTCTCACTGAAAGCTGTTTACACCTGTGCAAATTAAAAATACACAGAAGCTTCATTTTGTTAGCAACAACGCACACACACACAAAGGTCAACAATATCAAAACAAAACCTAGGGACGAACAACTTTTATACATTAAGAAGCCTCTCTCTCTTTATTTTTTTTTGGTGGACATTTAGTGTTTCAAAACATTAGGTTATTACACATTTACACAGTTGACCACTGGATGATCCTATTTTGTGTCTCTTTTACAAATAAAAAAAAATTATTAAATGGAAACAAAAGAGGAGATATACAACCAAAAGTGTGTTGAGAAGACACCCAGAAACAATTCAGTTATAAATACCTTGAAATACAAAATTTGGAATTTCAGTAGATTCCTAAAATCTATCTCCAAAATCTGATATGCTAGTCTGAGCAAAATCCGGTTAGACAGAAACCCAATCCATAATCATCTTGCCAATGTCAGGCACTGTTCTTTCAATATTTCCTGATTTTATCTTCAACCACTCTCCCATTCCTCTCCTTCCATAAACCCCAATAAACAGCTAAAGGGACACAACTCCAGCAAAGCTCTTTTGCTTCCTTGAAAATTGAAATTTCTGCCACTTGGAGAAAATCTCTCCTGGAGAGCTGAGTCGAAAGCACTGCATCCCGTACAATGATGAAACAACTCTCCAAATGAAGTCTTCCACCTTACAAGAGATAAACAAATGATGCACACTTTGCTCCTCTTTAGGGCACAGATCTTAAAAAGTTAGAGCCATGTTATTAATTCTTTTAGTATAGTTATCAACAGACTGTCAAAAACTCAAAACTAGAGTTTCAGCAAGAAACACAACTACAACTGGCCTATCAAACTTGTCCACCTTGTAATTACAAGATGCATATAATTCTTGCAACCTTGGAGGGACAGAGACTTTGACCCAGTGTTTTAAAGCGCAAGGCGCAAAAAAGGCGCAGGGGTCAATTTACACCTAAGGAGCAAGGTGCAAAAAAAAAAAACTAAACATGATATTAATAAAAAAATAAACTTTAATTTTAAAATAAATGTTTTAAAAAAACTTATTATCTAATATTAAAATACATAAATATAACATGTAAAGCATATTCAAATGAGAATTTAAAAATAAAATCAAATATATAAAACATTTTCAAGCATATAAAACCTACAATCTCTTTTTTTCTCAACTGCATTACTTCAATTAGCTAATGTGATATTCCTAATTCTACGAGCCGCCTTTGTACCACGCCCCTCGAGGCAAGCCCAAACAAGTCCACGTTAGGTCTTAAATTCTTAGTTCTCACACAAAAAAATAACGATTTTATAGTTTTAATTGCTTTTTAAGAAAACATTTTATTAGGATGAATGAATGAACAACATTACCAAATAGGGGGTTCTCGAAGCTTTGGTGAGTAAGCGAACCCAGCCAATAGACACAAAAGCAAAAAAGCGTCAATGTTTCAAAAGGCGCGCACCGGGGCTGAGGCACAAGGTGCACCAGGCATGCGCCTTTTGAAAGGGCTGCACCTAGGACCTGAGCAAGGCGCCTACCCTGAAATGCGCCTCACCTGTGCACCTAGGCGCACCTGAGGCGTGCCTTTTAAATCACAGCTTTGACCTGATTCCACCTTGAGGGAATCATGGTGTCTTTCTATGGGATTGTAGGTCTGTTCATTAGCTCCTAAATGTTGTCTACAATTTCAGAGTGTAATGAAGGCAGTGATTATGATTGATTCAAAAGAGAAGGAACTATGCTTTTTTTTTTCTGGGGATTTCCTGGAAATAATCATCTTATCTTCCTTCAATTCCTTACAAGAGATATCCAGTTGATCAGAACAGAAGTAATGCAAATCAACTGACATAGTACATATACAAGCATTCCCCAAATAAATGTTTTAGATTGCAGGTAGAAGTATAGAACAGCATGCTAGGTTGAAGCCCATTGCATGGTAGGTTAAACTTGCAATAACTGAATATTAACCAAAACCTAACCAAGGATCCCTTTCCCCAAAACAAACCATAGACACAGTACATGAAAAAAAATTAAAAAAAAAAAAAAAGCTAATATGACACCCCACCCCATCCCTAGGATGGGTAAAGAGTAGGTTCACTTGATTAACATGATCATAATCAACCAAGATGCAAGAATGCCATCAAAATCCAGAAAAGCATTACTATGCATAGATGTGTACAACCTACAGTAAGCCAACTTTTACATGCAATTACAAGAAAGAAATAGATAAAATACAGAAATAAAAACAAAGTAATGTATACATATATGCTCCAGTATGGCAGAACATGACAACAAATTTATCATTTTCTTTTTTTTTTTTGTTCTTCTATTGATAACAGAGAAAACCATATCAGAAATCCTCATTTTAGATTTTGAAAATAAACTCTCTCCCTCAGACTTTTGATATTAGGTCTCTCATTTATTTTTAGCTTTACAGGTGTTTTTCTATCAATAGCTGAATGAGATTCATTAAATAAAAATCAAGAAATTACAAAGTGAGGAGGGGAGATAAACTCTCTTAGCTCCCCCCAAGAGGTGAAACAGAAATTACAATATAGCCCAGAAAAAGTTGCTTCTTTCCACCCCATGCTTGGCCAAAACATCAGCCAAACAATTAGCATCTCTCTTAGTCCAATTCAGCTGAATTTCCATGCCTTTGAGTCAGGAACCTGAGGCCATGTTTTGTTCAATTCTCATTCTTACCCAAGATGAAATTCTAAGATGAAAAAAAATGAGTAAAAATGGGAAGAATGAGAAAATATTGCTACGAACCAAACGCTTTTTTCCCAAAAAATGATTTTTTTACAGCAAGAATGAGAGTAAATTTGTAACCTGTTTGGTAACAAATTTCATTCTCATTCATTTTTTCATTAATCAAAATAATAATATAAGGGTGTCAATGGACCGAATTTGGATTGGACCCCATCCAATCCAAAATCAATTTAGACGGATTGGATGGACCAACAAAACATATTGGATCAGATCAATCTGCTCCAAAATATTTATCAAATTGGATTGGACCATCCAGTCCATCTGTAATAAAAATTTATATTGGATTGGGTTGGATAAAGCCAACATCTGGTCCATTGATATAAGGTAAGAATATAGGTGCTGGTGGACTGAGTTTGGGTTGAAACCAATCTAAATCAAAATGAATTTGAACAGATTAGATGGTCTAGAACCAGAATGGTCTATTTCCTTGTCTTCTCTCCAATGAACATATATGCTTTTTGACAACTTAAACTTAAGTCTAATTAATTATTTATTTATTTTATCCATCAAAAACTTAATATTAATTATTTTTTCCTGGTTTATTCAACTACTAACTTTGTAATTATTTTTTTCCTGGTTTATTCAACTACTAACTTTGTAATTATTTTTTCCTGGTTTATTTAATCCATCATGACAGGGTTTGTCATGATGTCAAAAGTCAATTTGGGGCCTTTTAGGTGGAGGTACCACTTGACTTGGCTAGGCCTTAAAGATGGATTGTACTAACTAGATTAGAGAGAACTTACAACTGTCTTACTCATGTTATTAAAACTTTGTTCAACCATGCATTCTAAGCAGGTTTATTACACGAGATGAATTGGAAACAGCTATGAAGGATACGGAATGGGTGATGAAGCCAGCATTAGGGAAATAGTTTCAGAGGTGGATACAGATAATGTAAGTTTTCTCTAAATTGAAACCTGAAAGTGTCATGCTACAGAATTAAAAATGGCATTGATGCCCGTTAAACCTACAGGATGGGAGAATCAACTATGAGGAGCTTTGTATAATGATGAGGAGTGGAATGCAGCAGCATGCCAAGCTATTCTAATTCCAGTGACAGCCAGCTTTTTTTTTTATTTGTGCCAAATACATTGGTCAAGCTATTCTATCAGACCTGTTTGTTATTTGTAACTTTTCTGTATCTTGGGCATTATCATACTGTAATAGCTCAAATAACAGGGGATTAATGCCTTTGTTACTCTGGTGGATGGTGTTCCTTATAGTGAAAACTCTGGAAAAGCCTTATACTTACTCTAAGAAAGCAGGTATTCATCCATTTAAATTGTTCACCTAACATGATACTAAACTTTTTGAAGCATGATATGTTGACACCAACAGAGGTAGTGCAAAAGTTAATACACCACTATGTATCCCAATTAGTATTTGAAGCACATGGTTGTAGTCGATCTAAAAACCATGTGCTTATTCTCTGCCATTCGTTCTAGTGATATAAGAAAAGTATTTTACCCAAAAATTTGAATTCTACATTTTTTTGTATTTTTCATTTTTTATTACATGCATCCTTATTCTGGGTAAATTTTCAATATTATGAAGTTTTATATGTACACTTTAGTTGATGAAGTACATACTCTGAAACTACAAGTCATTGTCAGGTTGGAGCATTTGCAGCCCCAAATAAAACCCATTGGGAACCAGGCCTTCCAAAGACAAGGACCGACAGCAAATAAAGCACTAGGCTTGTAGCCCAGTGATTTATCCCTTAAATTACAAATATAAAACTCAGGTTGAAAACTTTAGGATGCAATTTTATAATAAAAACTCTCATATGTTAAACTTAGGCAATTTCCAGAAATTTGGATAGTGGAGTAAAAACCATCCAGTTTTCAGAGAACTGCCTGGTGAATAATAGTTTAAACAACATTTTAAAAAATTAAGATTTGGGCATTGTAACCCAGAAATGTTACTATGTCACCATTAAAACAGTTTGGCCATGTCATCCAATCTGAGTCCAACAACATTGCGACCTAGAAGTGTTGCATCAGTAAGTGTGGTCTCTCTCACTCTCTCTGTTCCTTGAATCCAAAATCAATTTTTTGGCTATAAAAATTACCCTTGACATAATGTTATCTAATTAAGTTTCAAAGTGAAAATGGCTGTTTGTAAATTCATCCTGAGGGACCTGTAAAGCTGAGGACAGCTATAAAACTACCTCCTGGAAAGGATCCTAATGAATGGCTGGTTGTGATATCTATGACCATTTCTACAAAGAGCAAATGACTTCAAAAGGGCAACAGGGATTTAATAAATTGTGTAAGGAGTTAGTTTTCAATAGATTGTGAGCTTATTTCAGGTAAAGGTTGTTAAAGTAATAAATTAGTCTGTCATTGGATAGTGGCTTGGTAGCAGATGGAGGGAGTGTGAGGGCCATGGGAATTGATTTATCATACTATGGTTATTGACATTAGGACATTCAGAGGTTGTGGGCTCTTTTGGCATGGACATTTGGAAGAGCATTGCAAATCTTCTTTTTGATTTCTCTAATTTGTGGTTTTGAGACGGTTGGAGACTTGGAGGGGATAGACAAATTTCAAGAGGAAGATAGCATAGCATGGGATTTCCCTTTATATACCATTATCCTTTTATCTAATGGATGGCTTCTTAGAAAGGGGTGCTATTAGAGTGGAAAAATGCATTCTAATTGAGGCTTGGGTAATCTCTCTAGGTCGCTTGACAGGGTTTTTGTTTCACCATCTTGGCTTTCAATATCTAGACATGCCTCTACTTCACCATCTGGATGATAATTCCTAGCCAGATTCCGATAAGCTTAACACCAAAAAGCAAATTACCAACAAGATGAAATGAGAAAAATGTAAAATAGTAAGTAACTAATTCATGAATACAAAAAGAAAGAAAAAAAAACAAACAGAAGAGATTCAAATCAGTTGATATTGAACCAAGTATGCTCAAATACCAAAAACAAAAAACATTTTGTATTTAATTATTAATCATCAGAAAGAGCACTTTCATTTCTTTAAGGAGCTCTTTTGTTACAATAACTAAATTAATCATCTTGCTTCCCACCTTTTAACCATCAGAATTTTGTTTCAAATTTTACTCCTCCCAAAAGGACCCAAACATACAAAACAAACTAAAATCATAAATAAAACTAAACCAACATTTGCACTCACTCCATTTGTACTCAATTGAAGTGCTTTAAATCAGTGCAAGTCTGGAGGTGTGTCACCTCTTTTAGTCCAGTTTTAGTTATTTGACAGTAGTATCTTTTGCTTCACCAGAGTACTTATTACCTACCCATGTCTCCTTCTAATTATGTCTTATTTCCGATGTTGAGATGATGAAATGCAGACATATAAATCTGTACCAGAGAGGCAAAAGGAATATAATATTTATATATAGTCTTAAACATTGAAATTTCTGGTTCTCGGATTTCATTTTCTCTCCTTTTCATTTATCTTCTAATTACACTGCACGTTTAAAGATGGATTAAGTGGCTAACACAAGGGCTAACATCTCCATATATAACAATCAAATTTCTATATAGAATGAATGAAAATGAATGATGGTTACATGGTTCCTGGCCTTGGAATCATTGAATCCAAACCATTCAATTGGTATCAATAGGAAGATCATATATGGTCCAATTGTTATGGCTTTGCTTATAGAATTTGGTCCATTTAATGGAAGTTTGGAATGAAGACAAAATCAACTACAGTGATCTGCAGCCCCCCAAATAGTCCCTTTTTTTCATTTTTCTTTGAAGCATGGGATCTAACAGAGGTTTTCTATGGAGATCATGTCCAGAAGAAGTGATGGGATCGAGGATCAATTATGTAAGTTTCTGTTGACAGGAAAAGAAACTGACCGAGACATGGGATAAATTGTGGCTTGAGATTATGTAGTTTATGGATGGACTCTACCTTCATATTTGGCTCTCCCTCAATTTCAATTTTCAAAGCCTTCCCTCTGATAGCCTTACCATCTCTGCCAATATGACCCAAAAGTCCACACAACCTCCACGATTCCATCTTCATGAATGTCTCAGTATCACTCACCAAATTTTGTCACCTTCATTCAGCAAGATTTGATACTAAAGCAACTGAAGACCCAAAAGTCCACACAGCCATGGATTTGATACTGTTATTTTTCTTTATCAGAATCATAGTTTTTTTTTTTTTTTTTGAAATGGCATTAAACATATAATCATTGCAAATGACACTAAAGCAACTAAAGACCAACCAAAAGTCAGTTTGTAGAGAAGTAATATTTAATTTGATAAAGTTATCTTTGTTACCAATAATCGTTTTAAGTTTTTACTCTTTCCTTGATCAGTAAATAAAAAACAAACTGAACTATAATGATAATGATAAAGATGACATATAAAAATGATAATCATGAAGGAGAAAGATGCAAAAGAAAGTAGGTAGTGTATGGGAAAAAGATAATAGAGAAGAAAACTAGCAATATAATTTTGTACGCCATGTGTTTGAGCTTACCTGACTTACGAGTGCAACTGATGCTGTTGAAGCTCCAGCAGGTGAGCCCTTGTTCTAACATGATTTCAGCACCAAAATCAATAAGTTTAGCTTGACATTAATAAATACATAGTTACCAAACTAGATTTGATGAGGATTGATTTTGGACAATTTTTTGCAGAATGTAAATAATAGAATAAAAACAATAAAATTTTCCTGATCAACAAATAAAAACAATAAAATAAAAAACAGATCAATAATAGCCATGTGACCAGATAAGGAAATCAAAATGACTACTTGCTCAAGTTCTTCGTAATGTTTGCTATCAACTCAAAAACCAAACAGTAGAACATGGATATCCCATAAGAAAATCAAAAGGGGCTTGCTTAATCAATTCCCCTTTTGACCAGATAGGAAAAAACTTCAGAATGATCTAATAAAGAAAAAAAAATGAAGAGACAAAGATTGATCAAATATATTCTTCTGCTTGCTCTTAATGGTTACAGGGCCGAGATTGGTGGTCGACCTAGGAAAAGAGGAAAAAGCAGAGCAAAAAATAGATAAGAAGAAGAAGAAGAAGGTGGTATCCAACTTACCTTCACCGTTAGCTTCGTGCTATGTGCACAGACAGAAGAAGAAGACCAGGAAGAAAAAGGAGAGAAATCGATCTTGATAAGCTAGAGATTGAGATCGATCTTAGCAGATCGATTTTACCTTGTACAGATAGAGAGGGGGGACGATGGTTCAGTGGAGGACTCGAGAGTTTAAAACACTTCGAACCAAAAAAAAGGGCCGATAAAATGTGGACGAATATTTTTCGTGCCGCAAAATATGTTATGATTTTTGCCCGAGACCCAAGTTTCATTCTCCAAAGAATGAATCCTAAGACAAGAAATGCTTATCCAAACACTCACATTTCATTCATTCTTGCTCATTCTCTTTAGTCCATTGGCAGCGAATCAAATATGGTCTTAGATGTCAAATATTCATACTATTACTATTAGGCATAGCTTTTAAAATCGGACCGGATCGGACAGGACAGTCGGACTGAAAGGTCAAGTGATCAGTTCCGTTATTTTTCAAAACTGGGATTTCTAAAAAAATCATTAGTTTTGATCAACAAACCACTGACCCAGGCGATTAACTGTTTTTTATTTTTATAATTTTTTTTTGTTAGAACGGCTCTAGGTCGGATTTAAAAACCATGCTATTAGGTAATTTATGCTGATTTGAAATTATTTGTTGAATGGTGTCCCTATCAAGTTTCCATGCCAAGTGGTACCATGACCATGTAGACCTAAACTTGGAAAGTACTCCCTCTCTTAGAAGCTTAGAAAACAGCCATTACTACTCAAGTCCCCTCCCCTGTCTGAAGGGTTTCAAGGATCTATTGATTCTACCTTCTTCATTGGTCAATGGCAATGACATATTGATTCTAGCTACCTTCTTGATTGGTCAAGGATAAGGTCCGTTACCTTCTCAAATTGACATTGGACAAGTTTAGTGATACTGATTTTCCTTATCAGCAACATTGGAGCCCAGGCATCTTCCCAAACCCAGATGGTGTTTGGCATGTCTTTTTGACACATTATTTGATTTACGGGAAGTTTAAAAGACCAAAAAGGGCATTTCTTGTTTGGTATCATGTAGACTGAAAAGGCGAAGACTAGGAAGCTTCCGATGAAGTTTTTGGTCTTTTTGCACTGAAAATATCCTTCTCAGCTGTTTTTTTTTACCAAACAGTTTGGGTCTTAAAGACAAGATTCCAAAAATTCAGTGTGTCTTCTAATCTATCGAGCTGTTGAAAGATCTACCTAGAAAAACTTGCCAAGCAGTCCCATATTTTGCCAACTCCATCACAAATTACTTTAAAGGGGCATTCTTTTTTCGGATTATGAGAGGGGTGAAAGTTGGTCAATGCGATTTTGGTTCCCATTGACCAATAATCTTATATTCTGTTTTTTAGATTTATGTGGGGGATTAGGAAAAAATGCCCTTTTTAATGGGACAAAAATATCATTTTTAATAACGGATTTTTTATGGCTTAAATGGTTATTGCCTTATTTACATAAAAAAAATAAAATAACATAGGTAAATGCACTTATTCGATAATTATTTCTTAGGAAAAACTTACTCATATAACTGCATTTACCCAAATAAGTAACTTACTAAACGGGGCCTAAGACTTTGCTTAAAAAATGAAACATGGGAAAAGTAAAATTGCTCGAGAATCAGATTTAGAGGAAAGGAATCCAGGCTGCGGATCGGTAAGCTAACATGGGTCATAACAACTTTATTCCATTTGACCATAGATGTCCTATGGGACCACCACTATGCTTGTATTATGGATTTCTAGAGTAGGCCTATGCTTTGCCAGTGCTGTTGGATACCCATTTACATTTAGGATTTTGCACTATACCGGACCCAATTTTTAGTTGGGGCCCATTCAAATTTGACAAATTCCCAATCCAAGCCCGCCCAAGTTGCACGCTTAGCTAGTATTGCCTCTCAATTTTTATCCAAAATAAAATAAAAATTAAAACCAAAAAGTCTCAAAGCAAGTTTATAGTGCTTGGTTGAAACAAGGTAAGTCTGAAATATAGGCCACCCCAAAACTTTGCTCCACGCAACTTGCTTCATTGTATCCAGTGTATTTTATGCTCAAGGGTGCAACTTGGATTGGCCTTAGTTACCATTTTATACTGCTTTCAAGACAAAAAAGCCCAATCCGAATTTTGGGACCATTTTTTGTTGTTGAGATTCATCTCCATTTGGGAAGAGGGTAACTACAAATACAAGATTTTAAATATAGACCGTGCGGTCCTCACAGCCATTTGTAGTTGTGCTTCAAAAATATCTCCCTATCAATAAAAATATACAAATTCAGAGATATTCTCAATATACCAAAAAATATGAATGCATTACCTCGATACTCCCAATCTAACACCTGTCTTTCTCATGTTATACTCATTAATATTATTTCAGACTCCCTTCAAGTAGACCTGTTCCCCGGATGAGTTTGGACACGCAAATGAGTCTACGGGCTTGACCTCGGGCCAAAAAGTCCGGCCCGCAATAAATTCGAGCCGGGTTCGGGATTTGCCAAAATAGTCTGGCTCGAGCCCGACCCGGTTCGATCTATAAACTAAACCCAAAAACCCTAATATCCTAAGTAACCCTTCTCATAAATCTCTTTCCACTTTTCCAGTTAGTCGAATTGCCCAGTGCCGGACCTCTCTTCTCTTCACATCCTCCTCACACTCTCAAGCACCCGCAGAACTGGCAAACATTCAACGGCACAACAACTCCAGCAAACCGGCGGTGAATCTTCTCTCTCTCTCTCTCTCTCTCTCTCTCTCTCTCTCTCTCTCTCTCTCTCACACACACACACACACACACATATGCGAACTGACTCCACTTTTCACTGTCAAAATCGCATCTCACCGCGAACTGAGCACTGGCGGCAGCGGTAAATCCTCTCTCTCTCTCTCTCTCAAACGCAAACTTAGCACCAACGAACACAATCACCGGCGATGAGTTCTTTCTTCTGTTAGGTCAGGCTTTGGGCTTTTTATTAGGGCCGGACTCGGGCCCATGTTATAAGCTCGTTGGTCGGGCCAGGCTCGGGCTCGGACCTAACAAAATCATATTTATGAAAAATAAAAGCCCGGCCCAACCCATGAACACGTAAACCCCATCAGGTTTCAATGACACACTGCCACGCCAACAACTGAAATAAATTCACACCATAACGTAAACCGTTTCTTCTTCTTCAACTTTTTTGTTTTTTTAATTCCAATCGGTGGTGTATCCACGGCATCTATTTAGACCATAGTTGCAGGAGATTTGATATCTCTCTAAATGTATTAAAAAATGAAGAAAATTTATCGTCAAATTTACTAATTGGCTCGGGACCGGGTAAGGTGGATCTAGATCAGACCTGACCCATTAACTGCACTACTACTAAAAGCAAGTAACGAAATGAACTCTCAAGTCTTACCACCAACCAACCCTAAGAGAGGCCGGTATAAGAATTCAAACGACTACCTACTCTTCTTACTTTCTAGAAGGTCGATAAGTGGATATATGTATTTGTCTTTGAATCTCTGGTGATGGCTGATGGGCCTGGGACTATAAGTTGGCCGTAGGCCCGTCTTTGAAGTAGTTTTCCCTCAAGATCAACGTAAACTCTAACAAGTTTACAAATTTACTTCTATTCTCAGGGTATTTCACAAACCAACATTTATGCTGTTTTCAAACGCAGCCTTAGAGTTATAAAAAATTAATATGCTTATTAAATGCATTATGTTCAATGTTACGGTGGTTGTGGACAAATGACACAAATAATTCCTTTGTTTTTTGGTAAGTTACTTATTCGAGCAAATGCACTTACCTAGGTAAGTTATTAGTGTTTATCTGGGTAAGTATATTTACCCATGTTCTTTTATTTCCTAAGTAAATAAAATAATGATCATTTTAATCATACAATTTTTATTATCAAAAGGGACATTTTTATCCCATCCAAGTGTTGATATGGGAAAGTTAATTTATTCACCTAAGAGATGAATATCACTTTTGCGGATAAGTGATACACAGGAAAATAAACTTTCTTTAATCCCCACATAAATCTGAAAAAATAATATAGGTTTCTTGGCCAATAGGATTTACCAATTTTCACCCTCAAAATCCCAAAAACGGACATTCCCAAAGTCATAAAGCACAAATCTATGTTGCTACTAGCGTTGTTTGTTACTACCAATTGGACATTAATTGCTTGGGCATGAATTTAAGCTTGTGGGCTTAGACTTGCGCCTAAAATACACTCTACATTTTTTGGGTGGGGATTAGGCTAAGACCTAGGCTTGATGGTCAGGTTAGGCTTACGCTCAGGCCTGAATATGTTATGTTAATATAGAGAGCCTAGCCCATGAACAAGTCAAATCTAGAATCAATTCACATTAATGACAAAATTCAAGTATGAAACACATTTCAGATGTGTGGCAAAGGTGTGTTGTGGGTAGCAGATCCCGACGATGTATATAACAGTTCAAGAGAAAAAAGGCATATTAATAACAAGCGGGGGGGCCGTGTGATGCACGGGAAACTCTGATATTCAATATAAAGATAAATGATTTGAATGGAAATGTAAACCCTTACATCATTTTCTATGATTTATTGGAATTTTATAATTTTCTATAATTTCAAGTAATTCCCAGTATTTTTCCATAAAAAACTATAATTTCTAGTAGTTGTATATCTATATATTTTTTTTTGTAAATTCCAAGTAATTCTCAATAATTACTGATAATTTATGGTAATAATTTCAACAATCTATGAGAATTTCATGTTAACAGTAAATTATTGATAATTTTCAGAAATTAATGATAAATTTATACTATTTCTCTATAATTTACGAGACTTACTGTTTTATTGAAAATTCTATAAGTTTCTACAATGTTTGGTATTTCTGGTAACATTCTATAATTCTCTATTACTTATGGTAATTTCTATGATATATGAAAAATACAGTTTTATTGAAAAATCTTTAATTTTCTAAAATTTCTGGTAATTCCTGGTAATGCCCAATAGTTTTCAATAGTTTCTGGAAATTTGCAACAATTTCTATATTTTCTATAAATTCTAGGTAATTTTCACTAATTATTAATAATTTTGGCCATTTTTCTATAATTGATAAGAATTTCCTATAAACAATAAATTATTAATAATATATGACAAATTTCAATAATTATGATAGTTTATAAAATTTTTCTTTCAAAAATAAGTGTAATTAATTGTGAACTATTGTGAATAGTAATTATGAAAATTCTCTAAATTTTGAGAATTACTATTTAACTTAAAATTCTGCAATTCTACAATTTATGTAAATTGTATCCTTTATGAGAATTGC